TCCACCTATGATCCATCTCCTAATTCTGCGTTGAATTATACCGAAATCTTTCCACCGAACATGCTGCAGGGACATCGATCCTTCGGTTCCGCTTGCCCAAAGAATGTTCCCTTACTAGACTGTTGGGTTGATGGTCCGCATCATGTTTAAATAGTTTTTCTGTCTCCTAATGTCAAACTGTTTCGGTGCTCACCACCGGCATACTTTGCCGCTGGGAATCATTAATTTTCTAGCTTGATACTTGAGTATAAACCGTCTCTACAAATCGAGTTTAACCATTACTGAGAACCAATTCCGTAGATGTGATAAACACTCCCATATATCAAGCAAAGGTAATGCACAATGCACTCATTCGTTGTGTCAATGAATTGTCAGGTATCCATGTATGCCATAGCGTAGGAGCCCCCATCGAAGTAGGAAGTGTATAGGACTTATGAACGGGGAAGACCCGAAGACATTGATAAGGGCATGTTCGGTTGGAGATTAATTGAACAAGCCCCAAATAAGGCAAATATTTTCTTCATTCTAAGTTATAAACGTTTTTGTTTTTCTAGATATATGTTTTTTCTTGTATTTAAATATACACTATATTTAGATACACAGTAACTATTTAGATATACGCAATATTTAGAGAGGAAAATTCATGGCCAGTCCTCAAACTTGGCGGACGTGTCATCTAAGTCCATGTACTATCAAAATGTTATTTTTGGATTCCTAAACTTAGTTCTAGGTCTCATCTAGGTCCAAATGGATCTTAACCCACTCTTTATGGTGATGTGGAGCCCACTTGTTAGGTCCTTCTCCTTCTAAGCTCACTCGCCAACGCCAACGCCTTGCCCCTAGCCCCACCACCGTTGCGCCGAGCCCCAGCCTTGCCACTGCGTGAAGCTCCATCCGGCGCCCAACCCCGCGGTAGCACCGAGTAGGCTTCCGGCTGCCACGCGCTGCAGTCGGAGTAGGCCAACCATAAGACGGTGATGAATAGACTGACCTTCATCTCACGCCGCACCAAGAACAATCCCATCCTCATTGGTGAGCCCGACATCAGCAAGACACCCAACGTGGAGGGACTCACGTAGTGCATTGTTCGCAACGACGTGCCTAGCAACCTCCTCGACGTCTTCCTCATCGCACTCGACATGGACGCGTTCGTCGCGAGCGCCAAGTACTGCGACAAGTTCGAGGAGTAGCTCAAGGCCGTGCTCAAGGAGGTGGAGGCGGCCGAGGGGAAGTCATTCTCTTCATCAATGGGATACACCTCATCCTCGACGCGGGCAGGACAAAGGGTTCCATGGACGCGGCCAACCTCTTCAGGCCGATGCTGGCAAGGGGACAGTTTTGATGCTTCGGCTCCACCACGCTGCAGAGTACCGCAAGTACATGGAGAAGGATGCAGCACTCAAGTGTTTGTCGCAGAGCCGAGCATGGTTGTCGGCGGTGAGAGAGAAGGAGAGAGAAAAAGGAGAAGATTTAGTGAGGAGATAAGGACCTGACAAGTGGGCTCCATATGTTGGGTTCACATCGATGCACATTCAGCATGCCACGTCAGCGTATAAAGAGGGTTAAGATTCGTTTGGACCCAAATGAGACCCGAAACCAAATTTAGGGACTCAAAAATAGCATTTTAATAGTATGTCAACCTAGATGATACCCCACGCCAAGTTTGAGGACCGACCATGAATTTTCCTCATATTTAGATACACAGAAAAAGACAAGAGGCCGAACTTTAGCTGCCTTGGTTATCATAGACTTGATAACTTGTTATTAGTGACGCATTTTGTTTCATGGACATGGGTGACACCTAACTAGTGATGACGTGTTGGGTGTTCCATTTATTCGCGTCTCTAATCTTACCTTAGAGACTCATTTCAATCCCACATCACTAATTAAGATATCTCCTTTGTGCTGTTTTGATATAGTGTTCCCTCCCTCCCAAAATAAATCAACTCCTAGAATCACCATATGTTAAACTATCTTAAGTTTGAGTAACTTTATGGAAAAAGGTAACAACATCTGTTGCAGCAAATAGCTACATTACTAAAATATATTCATGATGTATCTAGTTCTAGTGGTACTAATTTGGTGCCCTTTCTATAAATTCAATCAGAATTAAAATAGTTTGGCTTAGAACAACTCTAGAAGTTGATTTAATTTGGGATGAGAGAGTATATACTATATACATCATGACAAATCATGCAGTCACTCCGTTTCACTATGTTTGTCCACACCCTCAGGAGAATTGTTCCTGTAGTATTTGTTGATTGATTGGGAATATCAAGAATATAATATAGTTATTGCAAAATTTCCACTGCATGCCTCTAACTAAGTGCATTACAAGAAGAGAAGTGTATCATCTTATTTAATAAGGTCAGTCTCAGTGGGTTTTTTATCAGAGTTTTATAGGCATTAAATAAGCTAGCATGACATAGCATAAGTAAGAAGAGAGCTGATTAAAATTTCATGTGATGAAATAAGTTTCATGAAGATAAAACTTGCCTACACCGTTCAGAACACATGGGAGTCTTGAAAATAGAGCCATGAAAAACCATTGAGACTAGCCTAAGGATACCATTTCATACTGCCTTTTTTTCTCCTAGCTCGATCACACTTCAATTCATCACTGCCCATCATATATGCTATGGATAATCATATCAGTGGATAAAGAAGTAGAAAATCACACGAATAGCTAGTATAAAGATCTATATTGCATCATGATCATAATTGTGGAAAACAACTGCGTGTGGGCTGCTGAATCTACGTGGGGGATGGCCAGATTCCCGCTCTCCCATGCCAGATTCGTCCGGCTCCGTCGGGAGGCGGTGAGTGTGGCGCCCGATCGGGTCAGTCTCTCAGCAGCGGCGTGGCTACTCCGGACCCATTGGTGAGGCTCCAGCGTCCTCGTGAGGTGGTGTTCCTATCGGCCATGGGGGCGCCGTCCTGCTGGCTTGTGGCGCCGGCGCAGTGCCAAGCCTTCCTAGGACCAGCGGTTGGCCTGATCTGCACGCAAGGGTTTCTTGGGTCAACGGCTCTTCGTGACTGCTGCTAGTCCCTCATCGCTTCCCACCATATTGGTTAGGTATGGGGCGTGTTCCTGTGGTTGCGCATGCAGGGACACCTTTAGCGCACGTGCTGGCGTTTGGTGTCGGCGGGAATGCCTGTGTGATCACCGGTATTTTTCTTCAAGACAGACTTTGTCTGCAGGGGCTTCGGTAGGTTGCGGAAGGTAGGTTGCTTGAGGTCAGGCCAAAAGACTGGACGACGACGTCTGCGCACGCCTCATCTTTCTTGGAGGCGTCCTCTTCGTTCCTCTTCTCCTACCGTGTTGTAATTGCAGGTGAAAACCTTTCCATGACAGGATAGCTTGTCGGCGCCTTTGCCATTGTTTCCTTCTTGGAGGCATCGCTAGGTTCTCTAGCTCCACTGTTGCACTCTAGTCATCTTGCTGTTGCTTTGCTCCAAGTTGTGTTTATGGTGGTGCTCGACAAATCGTTGTGGTTGTTAGTTGTGCTCTGTTCTGGTTGACAGAGAGTGGTTGATTGAGAGTTGTTGCTAGTTTGTTTCTTGGGTTGAGTTGTTCAAAGTTGTTTTGGTTGTTAACTAGATGTCAATGCAGTTGAGTTGCTAGCTAGTTGGGTCGTTTTTGACCAAGTTGGCACAGGTTGAGCAAAGTTGTTAGTTGTTTGGATGATGTTCTAGAGTTTGGGAGGATGAGTGGCTCCCTGTTGTGTGGGTTCTGGGTCCAATTTTCACTTAAAAAATTGGACTCACACATATTTTTATTTTCCCCGTCCAATAAAAATCGCGGTAAAGCTTTCAAGGGAAAACTTTTGGTGCGTCTGAAAATGGAGCAAGACGCTCTTGAAAACATCCGTAAACACAACACCTGCAACATGTGCCTGAAGCACCTGTAACATGCTCTCGAAAACACTTGAAACATATGATTGCAACATAGTCTTTCAGAGCAACATTTCCTTGCAACACAATACCTGCAACATGCGTTTGAAGCACCTGCAAAATATAGGCTTGCAACATACACTTTTCGGAGCAACATCTCCTTCTGGTTGGGCGAACGGAGGCGCGCATCGGCACGCAGAGCTCGACGGCGGTGTGTGGGCTCAGCCGGCGCAGATCTCGGTGGCGTGGAGCTAGCCGGCGATGCAGAGCTCAGCGGCGCACAGAAGGCAATGTCGCACGAGCCACCCAAAGCTTGGCGCCGGCGTGTAGAGGGTAGGGTGGGCCAGGCGCGACGACGCAGAGGGCGGGGTGGGGGCAGAGGCGGCGGTGTGCAGAGAGCGGGGTGGGCCACGGCGACGATACAGAGGAGCACGACAACAGCGCTCTGACGGCACAGACATTTCGGAACGACAATCAGACCGTATCATTATCAAATTGTTTTCTCTGTAAATTTGGGTAGGTTGACTTAGGACAAAAGAAAAGAGTAGCTTTTAAGATCTGAGATTTTAAAAAAGATTGTAGAAATCTAATAAATATGCTTCTAATTTGTTTTCGTGAATTGAAAAATTTATTGACTCAGCAATTGCTTTTTTAACTATCGGAGATCCTCTGACACGCTGACGCCGACTGAACTTCGACTATCTAATCGATTCCGGCCGTTCCTCGTTTCGTTGGCTACCGTTCATTGCTTTGCCCCCAGGGCCCACCAATTGCGAAACAGCGAAACCCAACAGCGAGGAGAGGAGGAAAAAAAAGGGAACGAGCCCCGTCGACCCGCGATCCCCGCGCACCGGCCGCCGGCGATCTCCGCCGCCGCGGATGCGAAACGCTCCCCCTCCGGCGGCGGCAGCGTGGTGGCCTGCGCACGTTCGTGAAGGGCCCCTCCGCCACGCGCCCCGTCTCCTGTGGCTCCGAGTCCGAGCTCGCTCACCGCGCCCGCGCCGATATCACCCTCCTCGCGCCCGCGCCCGCGCGGATAGAGTCTGAGCTCGCTCCCGCGCCATCGCCTCGGGGCGGAGCCGCGGAGCTGATCCGGATCCACCAACATGTGGCTTTTCTGGCGCACTAGGAACCGCTTCTCCGTTGAGGAGCTCCGGTATCTGACAGATGAGCTGCAAAAGGTTCATGTCGTCAACGAAGCTAATCAGGATTTCGTGATTGAAGCATTGAGATCAATTGCGGAGCTTATGATATACGGGGACCAGCATGATCCTTCAATTTTTGAGTATTTTATGGAGAAACAGATCATGGGTGAATTCGCTCGTATCCTAAGGATCTCTAATCTGTCAAGAGTGTTACTCCAGTTGCTGCAGACAATGGGCATCATGATCCAAAATCTGAGAGATGAACATTCAGTTCATTACATCCTTAGCAGTGAGCACATCAACTTCTTCATCACGTACCCGTTCGATTTCCGGATCGATGAGATGTTATCCTACTACATATCCTTTCTGCGGGCGATAAGTGGGAAGCTGAACAAGGATACAATTTCTTTGCTGGCGAAGACGGAAGACGATGAGGTCACTTCCTTTCCTCTCTATGTGGAGGCTTTGAAGTTTGCCTTTCACCAGGATAGCATGATTCGAGTTGCTATTCGAACCTTGACACTCAATGTCTATCACGTTGGAGATGAATCTGTTAACAGATTCGTTTGCCGTGTGCCTCTGTCAGACTATTTTTCTCACATGGTCCAGCATTTTCAGAAGCAGTGCATTGACTTGGATAAGTCGGCCGCACGCTCCTCGCGAGTTGCAGATTCTTCTCTGCCGGTGTCTTGTGTTGAAGATGCGATTGTGCAGATTGAGGACACGCTGTATTATTTCAGTGATGTTATGTCTTCTGGTATTCCTTATCTTGAAAGGTTCATCACTGACAATATCTTGCAAGCTCTGGTGTTTCGGTTATTGCTCCCGTCATTGCAGAGGCAGAGCGCAGATTTGGACCTAAGTGTCACTACATCCATGTATCTGCTTTGCTGTATACTGCACATTTTGAAGAATAAGGATATGGCAAGTACTGTCGCTGCTGCACTTTTCCATCAACCTGATTGCCCTGATGATATGAAGCGAAGGACACCTCCTAATGGGTATACATCTGAGCATGATGATTGCAAGTCTGAGAATCATTGCACCACGGCCTCTGTTGTCGAGCAATCAAATGAGGATGAGCCAAATTCTCTGTCTTCTGTTAGTTGGAAATGCTTGCCCAACCATTCACCGCCAAGTGATTGCTGCCATGGCAACACACCAAGGGAACACTTGCTGTCCTATATCACAGAAGGAGATGATTCACAAGCTTTGGGTTCATTGTGCTTATTCGCTACATTATTGCAGACGAAAGAACTTGACGAATCAATGCTGGATGCACTTGGCATCCTCCCTCAAAGAAAGCAGCATAAGAAGCTTCTGTTACAAGCTTTAGTAGGTGAAGACCTTGCTGAAGGACAATTATTTTCATCAAGCAGTGGTCTAAATGATGACAGCATTCACAGTGATTTTGATATTTATGTAAGGAAGCTTCAGGATAAATATGGGCTACAGTGTCACCATCCACAGGCACGGCAAATGACTTCCAAAGCTCACAGATATCAGGTGCTCGATGCTTTAGTCGACCTTTTCTGCAGATCAAAGGTTTCTGCAGATGTTCGCTTAGTTGGTGGCTGGCTTTTCCGGCAACTGCTGTCCCATGGAGAGGAAGAATTCACTGCTTTTCATCTAAGACGACTAAAGGATTCATACAAGGATTGTAGCTCAAAGCTTTCAGAGGAATCTGGAGGATGCTGGTGCGACATGCTTCTTCCTATCATTAAAGAGGCTTGGAGGAACTGCAAGAAAGAAATTGATGTATCTTCTGTTGCCATTGCAGAGGGAGTCTATGAGATAGTTAAGCATTGCATTCTTGCTAGTTGTAGAATTACGAAAGCTGATGAAGACTGCCCAGAGGGAAGCCCAACAAAATACTTAGAATACCCTCCATGCATCTCCAAGGACATAGAAACATTTTGCTGGTGCAAGCAACCAATGGGGAAAGAAGAGATCGATACTGGCAGAATGGAGGAATATTCACACAGCTACACTGAACCGCTGATGTTGACTGATGACACAAAGGGAGGTTGTAGAAGGGAAACTTTCAGCAGCTATAAGCTTCAACTGCTTACCGTGCTGAACAATTGCTATAAACTGCAACAGCTTAACATGCTGAACACTTGAGTTCAACATTTGTAAAGCTTACAGAAGAGGATCGGGTTGCTTGGCCAATTGCCATATACTAGGGGCTGCTTCATTCAGGACTATGGATTCAACTGTGCTTCAGTGTTTTCTTCTTTGGATAATTCGAATCACTTTGATTGATTTGAATGTGAAATAAGATCAACCCTATATTACCTCAGAAAAAAAAAGACACAAAATTCGCCACCGGCCCTCGTCATCGGTCTCTAGCTTGGGCCACTGTGTGTGAGACTGAGTTAGGTAACGTTACCTGATCGATGTGATTCCATGTATAAGTGAAGTCTTGATTACTGCAAGACTATATATACAAGAAAAGAAAAATAAATAAGGCTATGTTTGAATGCAAAATATTTTGAGTTTTTTTTAAATACCATGATTTTCTAAAATACTTTGGTTTTATTTGAGAGTGTTATGTGATGTTTGGACGCAACAAATCTTATGGTTTTGAAAACCATAATACTACAACATCAAGATAGGGCCTGAATCTTTTGTTGACATGCCTATATTCTAGAGAGATGTCAAATCACTCGTACATGCGAAATGCTCTATATATACTATATACATGAACGTTGCACCTAACTATTTTCAATTTATGGTTTAGTGGTTATTTTATAAACATATGCATGTGGGCTCAAACGAGCCACACATAGAGAACTAGAGAACAGTAACGCGCCCATGATATTCGAGAGGTTGGTTAACTGATGCAAATAAAATAGTTTTGAGACCATGGGGGTGGATTGGTGTCTTCAACTACTGCAGCCTACTAGGTAGCGTTTGGATGAGAAGATGAGGAGGGACGGGACGGGATGGAACCGGGACGAGCGCCGTTTGGTTTAGGGGCAACCGGGGCGAGGACGTCCCACGAGTGAATATTCGCCCAAGTTCCGGGCTCGCCTCGCCCCCAGAAAAACAACGGACGGGCGCGGCCCTCGGTGGGACGAGCCGCACACGCGCGTGAGAAGAAACGAGGACAGGAGCGGGTGCTTTGCCACAGTTGGGGAAGAAGGACGAAGCAGGAATCACCGGAGTTGCTGGAGTCGAGGAAGAAGCGGTGCGCAGCCATGGGGGCACGAGCTCCGCCCCTGGCGCCGTCTTGCCTGGCCCTGGCGAGCGGCCATTGGAGCACGGGCTCCGCCCCTGGCACCGTTGTGCCCAGCCCCGGCGAGATCCGCCCCTGGCGTCGTCGTGCCCGGCCACAGCGAGCTCTGCCCCCGGCGAACCGCGAGGAGGTCCTCAGCGCGAGCTCTGGGGCCGGCCCTGCCGTTGCCGCGAGAGCTCCAACCCCACCGGCGGAGGAGGCTCGGGGCGCCGCGCGGAGGAAGCCCGGGGCAGCGCGCGTCCGGGCTCTGGCGGAGGAGGCGCGGGGCAGCCAGCCACCAGCGGGCTGCTGCTCTGACGCGTGGAGGAATCGCGGCCTCACGGGAGGTTGCGTGGAGAGAAAAAGAAAAAGGAAAAATAAAAAAAATAACAAATGGGCTCCACCTGTCATTCACTTATCCGACTTTTATTGCCTTTGAACAAAAAAAACAGGTTGGTTCATCCCTATCCACACTACTAGAGAACAGACTTTAGAACGATGTCCTAATTTGGCATTAGCCTCAGCATTTTTTGCCTCCGGGACTAAAGGTTCCTGCCCAACGGTCATCCACGGGGCAGGGATCTTTAGTCCCGGCTGGTATTACCAACCGGGACTAAAGCTTTTAGTCCCGGTTTGGGTGATGCCCCGGGAATAAAGATTAATCTTTAGTCCTGGTTTAGCCCCCTAACCGGGACTAATTATCCCGGCCTATAGACCAGCTCATTTCTTCCTCTCCGAGCCCAAGCCATTCCATTCAAACTCACTGCCTCTGTTCTTCAGCTTGCTGTTGTTCTGGCTCTCTCCCCCTCCATTGGTGTTGCTCTTCGATTTTGGAGGTAACAAACTTAATCGTCTTATGTTTTATCAGTAGCTTATCTCATTTTACGATGTAGATGCATGTGTAACTTTATATGTTGGACTTTATTATGATTTTATGTCATTTTTAGCTCAAAATCATATGATGATTTGCATATATGTTTGGATAAACAAAAGTTAAATTAGTTCATCAAAATCACTTGATAGTTTAGTATTGCTAGTGTATGTAGTACATTTCATGGTTTAGTTAGATAAATAAATATTTTTATTTTTTTTAATATATTACTTTCGAAATGAGAAATTTACAATAGTTTGCAAAAATAAGTATAGAAAGTAACTTGATATGGTGGATTTGATTATGATTTCTATGTCATTTTTAGCTCAAAATCACATGATGATTTACAATAGTATAATCACTTGATAGTTTGGTATTTTACTATTATACATAGTACATATTTCATGGTTTAGTGAGATAAATAAATAATTTTAGTTTTGTTTAAATATATTATTTTAGAAAATGTGAAATTTACACTAGTTTGCAAAAATAAGTATAGAAAGTAGATGACAACTGGTACCGGATCCTTGGCCTCTCGTTCGGTTGCGAAACGACTGAGGCCAGAACTCCCTCTCATTATCTGCGGCAAGTGTAAGCAGAAGATTGTGATGGAGTACCGAGTCAAGAGACAGGGACCCAACAAGGGTCGTGTTTTCTACAGGGGCCCAGATCGCGATGTGAGTTTCTTACGCATTTGATTATTATGGCTAATTGACTGCTTTTCTTGAATATTTTTGACTAAATATTTTTTGGCTTTAATTTCAAAGTGGGAGGGCAATGGATGCGATGGTTGGTACTTTGGGAGGAAGATTATGCTACATACATGCGAATTGGGTGCGCTTGAGGTAGCGGTCATGCGATGATGAGGCAAAGGAGCGAAGAGGGAGAAGCTTATTGATATTCAATGATTTAATGATTTGTCTGCTTTAGCTTGCGCTTTGGTCACGAAATAATTATGTTACTTGAAGTGCACTCGTAGTTTTAGTTTGTTTAGTGATAGTTGGGATTGCTTACGTTATAGCCCGGCTTAGTTAATTAATCAACCGTGTGTGTGTCATCTATGTTGTGTAATAAAATACTTAATTATGTTCAAGGTTTTCATAATTTGTCGTGTAATGCAGATTATGCCACGTCATTGGATGTACAATGCCGATCGCCGCTCCCAAGACTTTATTGAGGGCGTGCACTATTTCTTAGGTGTGGCCGAGGCAAATAAGCGGGATGGTTTCATGTGCTGTCTATGTGCCTTATGTAAGAATTTAAAGGAATATTCAAGCTCAATGAGTCTTCATTCACATTTGCTTAAGTCAGGTTTCATGTCAAACTATATATGTTGGACTAAGCATGGAGAAAGCGGGGTCATGATGGAAGAAGGTGAAGGAGAAGATTTAGACATTGATGACATTATTGCTCAGTATGGTGCCTTTGATGATACTACAATGGGGAAGATGAAGAAGAGGTAGCGGCAGAAGATGATCTCGGTGATTCTCTTGGCGATGCCATTCGTGATGCACAACAAGAATGCGAAAGTGAAAAAGAGAAAGTTAAGTTCGAGCGCATGCTTGAGGATCATAGGAAGTTGCTATACCCGGCTTTAATCAAGAGGGGCAAAAAAAGTTTGAGTACAACACTAGAATTGCTACAAAGATGGAAGGCAAAGAATGATGTATCCGACAAGGCATTTGTGAATTTATTGAACCTCATAAAGAAGATGCTTCCAAAGCCAAATGAATTGCCCACCACTACGTCTTTAAGCAAAAAAGGTTGTTCCGCCTTTGGGATTAAAAATCCGTAAGATACATGCATGTCCTAATGACTCGCATCCTCTACCATGGCAATGAATACGAGAATTTGGATGAATGCCCGGTATGTAAAGCATCACGGTATATAAGACCAGTAGCGATGATCCTGGTGACGTCGAGGGTGAACAACGTCCTAGAAAGAAAATCCTGCCAAGGTTATGTGGTATGCTCCTATAATACCACGCTTAAAACGTTGTTCGTAAATAAAGACCATGCAAAATTGTTGCGATGGCATAAAGAAGACCGTAAGGTAGACAATATCTTTGAGACACCCAAATGATGGGTCCTAGTGGAGAGCGATAGATGTGGAATTTTCGTAGTTTGCAAATGAGGCTAGAAACTTAAGGTTCGCCTTAAAATACAGATGGTATGAATCCTTTTGGGGAGCAGAGCACTAGTCATAGCACTTGGCCAGTTACTCTATGTATCTATAACCTTCCTCCATGGTTATGCATGAAGCGGAAGTTCATTATGATGTCGATCCTCATCCAAGGTCCGAGGCAACCTGGCAACGACATTGATGTCTATCTGAAGCCATTAGTTGAAGAACTTTTAGTTTTATGGAATAAACCAGATGTACGTGTCTAGGATGAGTACAAACAAGAACACTTTGACCTACGAGCAATGTTGTTCGTAACAATCAATGATTGGCCTGCTTTAAGTAATCTTTCAGGCCAGACAAACAAAGGATATAATACATGCACACATTGTTTTGATGACCTTGACAGTATATATTTGAAAAGATGTCGAAAGGTCGTGTACCTTGGCCATCGTCGATTCCTTCCTTTGAATCACCAAGTAAGAAAGAAAGGGAAGCATTTTAAAGGTAAGCCAGACCACCGGAAGAAGCCTCATAACTGAACTGGAGAAGATGTACTCGCAATGGTCAAGGATGTGAAAGTAGTATTTGGAAAGGGACAAGGCAGCGAATCTGTTCCCAAAGATGCTAAGGGACACGCACCCATGTGGAAGAAGAAGTCTATCTTTTGGAAGCTACCCTATTGGCAAGTCCTAGAGGTCCGCAACGCAATCGACGTGATGCACCTGACAAAGAATCTTTGTGTGGACCTATTAGGATTCATGGGTGTGTACGGGAAGCCAAAGGATTCACTTGAAGCACGCCAGGACTTGCAGGGCATGAAAGAACGAGACAACCTTCATCCAGAGAAGACAGATGATGGACGTCATTACTTAAGTCCTGCTAGCTACACGCTTAGCAAAGAAGAGAGGG